AACCAGATGGAAGCCCTCGGCAGGGGAGACCAAACGGCCGAGGGTTAGGGAGAAAGGGAAAGAAACCGGCGGAAGATGCGGGCGGTATCGAGGAGCTCCGCCTTCTGCATTTGAGCTTGGAGCGATCCGTCACGGAGTCCCAGTCGCCTCAGATGACCCGAGAGGCTGACTGGGATTAACCCGTTCGCAGAGACGACCACAGGAATAATTTCGGCCGGCAGCCAGGTCCAGATATTTTGTCAACTTATCTGTTTCGGCTTTCACGAGGTTCTCGTTATAAGGAATGGTAATGTCGACCAAAAATATCCTTGACTGTGCCCGGTCCATCAGCACAATATCAGGCTTATTCGCAAGAATAGTCCTGTCCGTGATGATGGCCCGGTCCCAGTAGAGCCTGGCGCGGTCATTTTCGAGCACGACTTCCGGCAAGTAATTATAATATGGCAGTTTCCGATCCACGAGACCGTATTTCAGAGCGAGCTCCTGGTGTAGAATCCTGGCTACTAGGTTGTGTCTGTGCAAATACTCAGAGTTAGAAAGCGCCGAACAACCGGAGATGACATGCCTAAGTGATTCACCAGGATGGCGACAAGCTCGACAAATGTCGACGGTGCCATCCCTTAGGATGTATCTCCGATAGTTGTTGGTCTTAATAACCTGATCCTGTATTGCACAGACAAAACCCTCGGTTTCCCCGAAGAGGTCACCAAAACGTAGCTAGTGGAGGGAGGCGACTGTGTCTACGCAAGGCTCATGTAGAGCCTTAGCGCTCCCGTGGAGCTCCTTCTCCTTCCATACGGTTTCCCGGTCGGGAATGCTCTGTACTGCCGGGTCTTGCCATTGCTCGTTGGCTAAGGATAGAGGGGTAAGTCCTTTATCACAATAAATAACGTCTCTATAGAATGGATCATCCGCTAAGTGTGCAGCCTCCGTAATTACGGAGGCTGCACACTTCGCGATTATGCATGGTAAGCGCGCTTAAAAAGCCGCGCCCACCATGCTTCCGCGGCAAGTACAGCCTCATTACTGACGATCTCGGATGATACATCCTGCGGGACGTCATTATAGTGCGGACTTTTCTGTCCAGAGCGTTCAGTTCGGTCTGAGTCCACCTGAGCATGCCAAAGGTATACATGAGAACAAGCATGATCCAACCGTTATATGCATGTGTCTTATTAACGCCCGACAAAAGACTGTTAAGCACTTATGTCAAGCGTGCATAAAACACACCGCAAACTGACCGTTTCATGTCCGCCTTATCGATACCTATGTTCTGTGACATACCCAGGTATCGGTATGTTTCAGCCTCGGATAGGGTCTTTATGTTGATGGGCATAGATAAGTCTATGCCCTCAGAGTTAGCAACCCTACCCCTTTCGACATGGAGGATCGCACACTTATCCGTCCCCAGCTCCATTCTAATAGAATTGCTAAAATCACAAGTGATGTTTAACAATTCCATAAGATGAGAGCGACTGGAGGCGAATAACTTGAGATCATCCATATAGAAAAGGTGGGTCACTTTTGTACCTCCTCTCCCAAGCTGAAATCCCCTCCCGGAACCCTCCAGTAAGGTACTAAGAGGGTTCAGAGAGAGGCAAAACCAGATTGGACTCAAACAATCGTCCTGGAAGATACCCCTTCTTATCCTTATGTGGTTCTCCGCAGCCGTCATCCGCTCGCCTAGATGACAAAGGATCGTACTCCACTGCCCCATACACTGCCCGAGGAAGTCTCTAACTGTACAGTCAACCTTGTACAGCTCGAGGACCCTCTTCAGCCATGTATGAGGCACCGAGTCGAATGCCTTTTTGTAGTCTATCCAGGCGGCGGAGAGGTTCCGACGGTTGCGTTTAACCACCTTGCCAATGACCGCGTCAATGAGGAGTGGTTCCTTGGTTCCACGACCGCCGCCTCGACATCCATTTTGAGCGCGCTACATCACCTGATTTGAGTTCAGGTGACGAGTGATTCTCGCGCTCAAAATGGATGTCAGTGTCTTGTATATGGTAGGTAGACACGTTATGGGGCGGTATTTGTTCGGGTCTGTGGAATCTCGGTCTTTAGGAACCAAATGAGTGATCCCAGTAGTGAAGAGGCTCGGGAGCGACTTTTGGTCGAGAGCCTCTTGAAACTGTCGGGCGAGAACAGCGTGACACACCATGAACCCCTTCAGCCAGTAGTGATGCAGTCCGTCGAGTCCCGGACTTTTCCAGTTCGGGGCCCTACGGACCGCCTCAGCTACGTCATCCGGCGTAATGATGACGGGGTCCATGGGCGTAACATTCGCACACTGACTCGCCACAACTTCCGTCCAAGGGCCCTCACTGTGGTTTACGGGCTCTGACCACAGGCCGCGCCAGAATGCGATAGTGTCGGCCTGATTCGGTGCTGGGCCCGTTCCACGTACCATTGGTCGCTCCAATGATTCATAGAGCCTCTTCTGATCACTCTGGAAGAGACGATTCTGGTTGAACCGTGTCGACCTCTCGGTATATCGCCGAATCCGCTTCCCCCAAGCAGCGATTCTCTGCTTCAGGTCGTCTATGCGCTCCGTCAGTTTTTGCGTTATATCCGGCTGGGACAAACTGATATTTGTCCCAGCAAACGCCATCCTGACGGTGCGCACAATTCTCGGCCTATTATTGCCCGACCTGAAGCTTATCAGCCTGCCGATGAGTGCCCTTGCCTTTGCGATACGGTCCTTAATCCTTCTTCTCCAGGCTGGGATGGCGCTACTTTGTCTAGTAGCGCGTCCAGCCTTGGGAAGTTTGGCGCCAATAATACGGCAAACTGCCAGTGCGGCGCCAAAAAGAATTGAGTCCGTCTCGCAGAGGTTCCGGCTGGCTTCCAAATAGGTCACCAGCATTGGGTTGAGAGCCCTCACGACAGCCCGATTCCGCTTGCTTAGGGGTATACGGGGAAGTCGCGGTCGATTTTCGAGAGGCGTACTGCGCGTTTCCCTAATCGCCTCTTCCACTATGCTCCTCATTTGCTCTAGTTCTGGTGCGACTATTCCATCGTCGCCTGAGTCAACTACAAGGAGATCTACGGCGGCATCTACATGTGCGGGTTGCTCTGCAACTCGTAGAGCCGCATCTCCTGTCGTAGCATTTTCATTCGATTATTATTATTTGGGGCATCTATATAGTTTACTCATCTGGTTGGGCTGTATAAATATATAATTTTAAATGAAAATGATAAACATACATAAATATCAACAAAATAAAATAAATGCATAAAAAATACATAAATAAATAAAAACCCAACCAGATGGAAGCCCTCGGCAGGGGAGACCAAACGGCCGAGGGTTAGAGGGAAAGGGAAAGAAACCGGCGGACGATGCGGGCGGTATCGAGGAGCACCGCCTTCTGCATTTGAGCTTGGAGCGGTCCGTCACGGAGTCCCAGTCGCCTCAGATGACCCGAGAGGCTGACTGGGATTAATCCGTTCGCAGAAACGACTACAGGTATAATTTCGGCCGGCAGTCCACCCCACATGTCGGTCACCTCGTGAGCCAGGTCCAGATATTTTGTTCGCTTATCTGTTTCGGCTTTCACGAGGTTCTCGTCTTACGGAATGGTAATGTCGACCAAAAATATCCTTGACTGTGCCCGGTCCATCAGCACAATATCAGGCTTATTCGCAAGAATGGTCCTGTCTGTGATGATGGCCCGGTCCCAGTAGAGCCTGGCGCGGTCATTTTCGAGCACGACTTCCGGCATGTATTTATAATAAGGCAGTTTCCGATCCACGAGACCGTATTTCAGAGCGAGCTCCTGTTGTAGAATCTTGGCTACTAGGTTGTGCCTATGCAAGTACTCAGAGTTAGAAAGCGCCGAACAACCGGAGATGACATGCCTAAGTGATTCACCAGGATGGCGACAAGCTCGACAAATGTCGACGGTGCCATCCCTTAGGATGTATCTCCGATAGTTGTTGGTCTTAATAACCTGATCCTGTATTGCACAGACAAAACCCTCGGTTTCCCCGAAGAGGTCACCAAAACGTAGCCAGTGGAGGGAGGCAACTGTATTTACGAAAGGCTCATGTAGAGCCTTGTAGAACCTCCCGTGGAGCTCCTTCTCCTTCCATATGGTTTCCCGGTCGGAAATGCTCTGTACTGCCGGGTCTTGCCATTGCTCGTTGGCTAAGGATAGAGGGGTAAGTCCTTTATCACAAGAAATAACGTCCCTATAGAATGGATCATCCGCTCTCGACAGAAAATAATTACGGAGGCTGCACACTTCGCGATTATGCAGGGTAAGCGCGCTTAAAAAGCCGCGCCCACCATGCTTCCGCGGCAAGTACAGCCTCATTACCGACGATCTCGGATGATGCACTCTGTGGGACGTCATTATAGTGCGGACTTTTCTGTCCCGAGCGTTCAGTTCGGTCTCAGTCCGCCTGAGTATGCCAAAGGTATACATGAGAACAGGCATGATTCAGCCATTATGAGCGTGTGTCTTATTAACGCCCGACAAAAGACTGTTAAGCATTTTTGTCAAGCGTGCATAAAACACATCGCAAACTGACTGCTTCATACCCGCCTCATCGATACCGATGTTCTGTGACATACCCAGGTATCGGTATGTTTCAGCCTCGGAAAGGGTCGTTATGCTGATGGGCATAGATAAGTCCATGCCTTCAGAGTTAGCAACCCTTCCCCTTTCGACATAGAGGATCGCACACTTATCTGTCCCCAGCTCCATTCCAATAGAATTGCTAAAATCATAAGTGATGTTTAGCAATTCCACAAGATGGGAGCGACTGGAGGCGAATAACTTGAGATCATCCATATAGAAAAGGTGGGTCACTTTTGTTCCTCCTTTCCGAAGCTGAAATCCCCTCCCGGAACCCTCCAGTAAGGTACTGAGAGGGTTCAGAGAGAGGCAAAACCAGATTGGACTCAAACAATCGCCCTGGAAGATACCCCTTCTTATCCTTATGTGGTTCTCCGCAGCCGTCATCCGCTGGCCTAGATGACAAAGGATCGTACTTCACTGCCCCATACACTGCCCGAGGAAGTCTCGAACCGTACAGTCAACCTTGTACAGCTCGAGGACCCTCTTAAGCCATGTATGAGGCACCGAGTCGAATGCCTTTTTGTAGTCTATCCAGGCGGCGGAGAGGTTCCGACGGTTGCGTTTAACCACCTTGCCAATGACCGCGTCAATGAGGAGTGGTTCCTTGGTTCCACGATCACCGCCCCGGCATCCATTTTGAGCGCGCGACATCACCTGATTTGAGTTCAGGTGACGAGTGATTCTCGCGCTCAAAATGGATGTTAGTGACTTGTATATGGTAGGTAGACACGTTATGGGGCGGTACTTGCTCGGGTCTGTGGAATCCCGGTCTTTAGGAACTAAATGAGTGATCCCAGTAGTGAAGAGGCTCGGGAGCGACTTTTGGTCGAGAGCCTCTTGAAACTGTCGGGCGAGCACAGCGTGACACACCACGAACCCCTTCAGCCAGTAGTGATGCAGTCCGTCGAGTCCCGGACTTTTCCAGTTCGGGGCCCTACGTACCGCCTCAGCTACGTCATCCGGCGTTATGATGACGGGGTCCATGGGCGTAATATTCGCACACTGACTCGCCAAAACTTCCGTCCAAGGGCCCTCGCTGTGGTTTACGGGCTCTGACCACAGGCCGCGCCAAAATGCGATAGTGTCGGCCTGTTTCGGTGCTGGGCCCGTTCCACGTACCATCGGTCGCTCCAATGATTCATAGAGCCTCTTCTGATCACTCTGAAAGAGACGATTCTGGTTGAACCGTGTCGACCTCTCGGTATATCGCCGAATCCGCTTCCCCCAAGCAGCGATTCTCTGCTTCAGGTCGTCTATGCGCTCCGTCAGTTTTTGCGTTATATCCGGCTGAGACAAACTGATATTTGTCCCAGCAAACGCCATCCTGACGGTGCGCACAATTCTCGGCCTATTATTGCCCGACCTGAAGCTTATCAGTCTGCCGATGAGGACCCTTGCCTTTGCGATACGGTCTTCAATCCTTCTTCTCCAGGCTGGGATGGCGCTACTTTGTCTATTAGCGCGTCCAGCCGTGGGAAGTTTGGCGCCAATAATACGGCAAACTGCCAGTGAGGCGCCAAAAAGAATTGAGTCCGTCTCGCAAAGGTCCCGGCTGGCTTCCAAATAGGTCACCAGCATTGGGTTAAGAGCCCTCACGACAGCCCGATTCCGCTTGCTTAGGGTTATGCGCGGTAGTCGCGGTCGATTTTCGAGAGGCGTACTGCGCGTTTCCACAATCGCCTCCTCCAATTTACTCCTCATCTGCTCTAGTTCTTGGGTGACCATTCCATCATCGTCAGAATCAACTACAACTGGAAAATCCGCGGCGGCATCGACGTGTGCAGATTGTTCTGCAATTTGTGGCGTCGCATTACCAGCTGCAGCATTTTCATTTGATGAGGGAACGGCCTCACGTCGTAGTCGTTCGAGTTCGGCGTCACCAAATATGTTGGAGCGCAGGATGTACCGAACTCGGTCTGCCAGGTTTTGCTCTGATACATGAACAGATGGCTCCAGCTCCGCGAAAAAGCGATTATTATTATTATATAGATTATTATTATTATATAGATTATATAGATTATTATTATTATTATTATTATTATTATATAGACTTAACATCAGATATAAAATAAAATAAGAAAACAATTTTTAACATAACTGTAACTGGATATTTCCTTTCCAAACATTTTGCAGCAAAGTAATTGTTTTTAAAGGCAGACATAAATACAAAATTCTAACATTTTCCACTATGTGATTTGCTGCAGACAGCTGTGATTAATATACTAGATAATGATTTATATTTCGCAAGTTCGACAGCATTTCTATATTATTTTATTGATGCCAAGCTCCAATATAGTGCAGATATTGACGAACTTGCTTCAAAACTTAGTTCTGCATTATTCGCTATTTAATGAATTAGAAAGGTAACTGATGCAACTAAGGCTAAATTAGTCTACTCCGCTTATTTCACAGTATCATGACCAATTACGTATTTAAAAAAAATATTTAAAAAAATCTAGCAATGCTATTACTAATATATACATAATAAAATACATACATAATACATTACTAATATTCCCTTTAACTACTCCAGGAGTGGTTCATGACAGTAGTGGAATGGCGGATTCGAACCCACGAACTTTTGATTTCGAGGTTCGTACCTGCCATTAGGCTAGCTGTAGCTGCAGCTGAAATGAAAACAATATTAATTTTTCAAAAGTAACCGACACGGGCTATTTATCACTTCATTCGTTCGAGTCTTTACACGAACTTTTTTTAGCGGGCTAATATTTGGATCATTAGTCTAGAAGGTACAAATATGGCTACGAAAAACTGTTAAACCATACTAAGTACTTCGCTTCAACATAATAGTTACCGTTACACTAAAAGCTTATTAAAAATCTACAGCTAAATATAGGCCTCCATCACATTATTTAAATTTTACTATAGAGAAAATTGGCGCCATATTATGGTTTAAATGTTATTTGAACTGCTTTAATGATTGTGACACATACCTCTAAATTTACGGATAGATATATAACAAAAAAAGGGGCGCCATTTCACCCACAGGGAAACAGAACCCTAAAACGGCTATTGGTTATAAAAAACGACCTTAATACATTATGTGAAAAAATGGCACCTCATGTTTTAATATCCTTTAAAAGAACAAGTGATTTGTTTTAGGAAGGTCCCAGCAGTAAGCTCATTATTATCGAAACCTTTTTGTTTAAGCACTTCCCGTTTTTATTTTCTCTATTTTTGATTCCCTTTACTTTTTAACCGTGGTAGCTCAGGGGTTAATCTCTCGCTGTAAATTTCACAGTATCTTCGTGAACAACCCGGGTTCGATCCCCGACGGCACCAATGATATTGTTAATTGCAATTTTATGTGCTGATTTACCACGTGCTCGGCGGTGAAGGAAAACATCGTGAAATAATAAAAGAATATTTCGAAGACATGTGAAGTTCGCCAACATGCAATGGGGCAGCGCGGCGGATATTTCCCTTTCAGTAATGAAAGGACGCCTGTGCCCAGCAGTGGGACGTTTATATATATAGGCTGCTACTTTACCTTTTACTTTTTAACGCGGAAAAACAAATTGCAGCTTATATTATGCCTGCTCGATCAGGGATGTAAAATGCAGATGCGATGTCACCCGTGAGGACTAAGATGCCTCATTTCCAGTAAAAAGGGCCTCCGGCCACCTGCACTCACCAAGCGAAACGCAGAGGTAAACCTCTACTTCACGCTGGTATTCTGTGAGGTCGTGGTACCACCCCGGTTCGAGCCGGCCCATCCGTGCGACAGCAAAAGCTGCCGCGTGGCTCTACCACTGTTTAAATTCTGATTCGAAGATAGATGTCTATGTGAAAGCAATCCATTCCATCAGGTCAGTTGTATCCCACTTACACCATTACCACATGGCTAAACGATAGTTTACTATTCATAAATATTGTTCTAAAGTTTACTTTAGTAGCAAAACCACAACTTAAAAAAATATAAACTATTAAACAACGTGAAAAAAATAAACGTAGGTATAAAAAAAAAACAAATTCAAGAGCGTGAAAGGGAAATAACCATCATGTAAATGTTGCCACGCACAAAGCGTTTTAATTTTTCAAAAGAGCCTTTATTTTTTATACTTTACGGAGGTATTTTTGTTTCGCACAATAGATTAGGTTTGATATATTTGAAAACTTCTTTGGGAGTTTATATTCTGTATTACACCTTTGCGTACGTCTCCATAATCGGTCAGGCAAGTTATTTCACATAAAAAATGACAATAAACTTTTTCACCTTTAGTCGAATGTAAAAGATGTTAAAAAATTACGCGGTTCTTAGCTAATACAGATGGCTCCGTGGCGCAGTGGCTTAGCAATGAGTTGTAGCGCTGGGCTGCGGGTTCGAATCCCGCACGGAATAAGATACTTGTATGGCCTACAAATAATTGTTCCGGGTCCTGTTTATGTCCGGGTAATGTTTGTACTCGTGCAATTTATGTTTGTAAACTGCCTCCACGATACAGGAGAAAATCCTAGTGTGGAGGTAACGGTTTTAAAAAAAATACATTGTTTCTTAGATCTGTGTAATATTACATCTTTAAAATAAGGGGCCATCACAGCCACAACTTAATATTCTTCGTCTGATGGTCGTAAGTGCGTCTGCCGATCGTGAGGTTCCGGATTCGAATCCCGGATCGGGCCAAATTCAGTTACTGGGTTTTGTGTATCAAGATATTCTCAGTAGCATAGGAGTCGAAAAGTTGGCGGTGTTTCACTCGCATGCTTCGGAAATTACGTAAATGCTGTTGCTCCTGCGCCTGATCTCTCTCCGGTCGTGTCGGATTGCCGTGCCGTCCCAATGGACAATGAGAATCAGGCAATTGACAGTGTACATGTGCTTGTGCATGTGAATAAATCATACGCACCTACGATTAACCAAGTAGTAGTTTCAGTTATGTATGGCTTTCTACTAAATACAATTCTTTAAACAACGTCACTCAAGTTACTTATTTTATTTTCATTTGCTTTCTAATTTTAAAGCAATAAATTGGGGTGTAATTTAAGACGGCTCAACATTAAAAAAGATAGCATTAGACTTAAGACAACCAGAATACAGTGGTAGAGCCACGCGGCAGCTTTTGCTGTCGCACGGATGGGCCGGCTCGAACCGGGGTGGTACCACGACCTCACAGAATACCAGCGTGAAGTAGAGGTTTACCTCTGCGTTTTGTTTGGTGAGTGCAGGTGGCCGGAGGCACTTTTTACTGGAAATGAGGCATTACATCTTAGTCCTCACGGGTGACAACGCATATGCACTTTGATTCGCAAACGAGGATAGATGTAGATGTCTATGGGCCGCAGCAACCACTTACCATCAGGTGGACTGTGTGCTCGTTTGTCACCCTTATCCTATAAAAAAAAAGACAAATCTTAAGTACAACCACATGAGTCAAGAAACCGTACCATAGTATAGCTTAAAATTCTTAATTTTTTTTCAAATTTCTCAATTGTGTGTGAGTGTGTGTGTGCGTGTGTGTGCGTGTGTGTGTGTGCGTGTTTGTGTGTGTGTGTGCGTGTGTGTGTGTGTATGATTAAATTGATTCGAGAATGGTTAAATTTACAAATTTACAAAATAGCTCCGATCGCATGGACAGTTTCCACTAGCTTGTCATTCAGATCGTGCACTGCATAGTCTCTCTTGTAGGCTCTGAAACGATTTTGTAACTCGAGCTGAAAGTTTTCGCGACTTTGGACTAAAGCACGAGGGGAGCGTTGACTTGATTAGTCGTGGTCTCTCCAACTTAACTACCTTCAGGTTCATTATGCCTCTCACCATTTGGTTTTCACCCTAGCGATCACTGAGACGTCACTTATCTGTGACCATCTACAGAGCCGGGGCCCGTAAATCCCTGTTCGGACGGCCGGTAGATAACTCATTTACGTGCACTATAAACTGTCCTAGGAGTTATCGTTACGCAAGTAACGACGCAGAATAATAAAAATGCACCCTTTTTTTAGCTCGCGGCATAAAAGGCCGCTAG